CGACACATTTACAATATTTTCACCCAAAAGCATTTCGAGTGCGTCTGTGAGCGGATGGTTATTTGACTAAACAGATCTCCCAAATGTCACTATTTAGGCGTTTACCTGCTGACATTCTTCCTCAACAAGTTTCGTTATGAAGACGAACGCATATCATGGGTCGACCAATTTGTAATGGCTTATGGTGGAATCCGCGGAGCCGTTTGTTACGGTAAGCTTTTGCCAAAAGGATCCCATTGTAGAAGATCAAAATCAGCATACTATCAACTACTACTATCAATAAAACAACATTATGAGCCCGCATATGCGATCTCAGTTGCCACGCTTTCTGGTTGCAAGAAATTTTCGAACCCAATACGCGCAGGCTACAAAAGCATAGAGTAACTTTCGTAGATCACCAGATTATATAATTCTATACATCAAGATCATATGAGATGACTGAACGATTAGTTGCAAAATCGCGTCGCGGCTGATATCGCGCGAAGTATGCGCGGGGCATATCGTAGCAACTTTAGCTGATGGCCTTTTTACTAATGCTGCAAACGTTATAATGTCCAAGCTTTCAGGTCTTGTTATGTCAATAGATGAGAATCTTATCCCAGCAAAGAAAATGTTTGTGACCACAACGTTGGCTGTCATCATGTTCACTACCGTAGTGCAGGTGAGTTGACATGCTATAACTCCTGTTGGAAGAATTCTTGGAGGAAATCATGAATTGAAGGCAGAGATTTAGGGTACGACAATCAAATGCATTGTAAACCTATTGAAAGTGAAGAGAAGTAAGATGTTTGGCAAGCCTGAAGAGAAGAAACGTGTATTCGACTACATCCAGAATGAAATGAACAAACACGTGATCGAATTTGTTGAGAATTTGACAAATGTTCACGGAGAGAATTTGGTACGCTTTCGGCATCCATTAGTGCTTCCCTAACCTGAGCCCTCTATCATTTCAGTTGTACCGAAAAATCCTGGAGCTCGATCAGACCGTGTTGAAGCCTAGACTTGTCGCATACTATAGACCACGGACAGCGAATATAATCGACCGTCATATGGAAATTGAACTTAACGAGTTCGCAATGTCCGTCAAGAAAGGTAGGTATCGGCTTATCGGGAAAACTTATGAAAATATTGAACGCAATGTGCTGCAGCACTCAAATTCTGCCCCACAAGAAGGTACGTGTTCCTATGAGGTAGCCCCACCCGAACGCGGTGCTTGAGCGAACACTATGTACCCTTTGACTCAACGAGATTGGCGGCTGAAAGGCGAAGCTCGCTCCCGCGGCGCAGTTTGCGTCTCTCTCGCAAAAGTGCTCTCTGATCACTCTCTAGTTTGATTAGGCCTTGAAGCCCCGCCTTCCAGCCGCCAATCAGTTGAATCAAAGTTTACATATGAGCTTTTGCAACTGTTATGCTCCAGCGATGACGTGTGCTCATGTGTCCTGTATGTGCACTCTTCGCAATACATTGCCTTTTTTTCGTACCAAATTTTGACTTTTTGTCCCCTCTTCGAATTTGAAAATCGCTGGATTTATAGGAAATAGTTATAGTTCAACACAGCAGTTCCTTTCCGCATCACTTGACCTCTCACTTGCGGCAATGCCACTAAGAAAACAAATCCTGAGACCGTTACTGTAGACGAAAGGTTAGAGGAACCACCAGGTACAATCCGCCCCATCTCCGTGGACATTGTCCTCACACATTATACGGTAGTACGTGAAAGGACCAGAAGCAGAAGTCCGCGCAAGCCGCCCCACTTAGCAAAATTTGTTCCTCTACCTGATGCATCACGCCTTCAGTTGGCTGAAAAGTTCCCTAATGTCAGTTAAACCGCGTTTTTAGGAGGAGGATCATTTTCTGGATTTCCTACGAATGCGTCTGTTAGTGAGATCAATCTTCCAACGTCGAAAAGCGAGTTATTTGCTGCTGGATTCGATCAGAAGTTTGTATTACACTTTTGATATGTCCTTTGCTCTATGGCTGGTGTAATTTCCCTTTTATAGTTCTCTCGTTTGTCCAAGCGCACCGCCTGCTATCTCTGTGCCAACTCCAACTAAACCTCCACCCGCACTGGAGCCGCCCACAATTGGCATTCCTAGGAATGCTTCAGTAACTGGCCTCGTTGCGAAAGTGTTTGAGACTAGCGAACAACAGAGAAATCTTGCTCGTAATAAGGTAGCACTTTACTGGATGACAGAGCTTGTCACATACTAATTCCAAACATTTTCACACTTGGATTTCAGAATCGACGCACCATCTACAGTCGTCACCTTCTTGAGAGAGTACCTGCGTCACCAACTCCACCCTTAGTAAGTTCATTTTTGATTGGGCTTTTCTTACAGGCAAATTGCTTAATTTGCGTCAGTTGCCTGTGCCAGCGCCGTACATAGTCAGTACAGGGCGCGTCCACGTAGTCGCGGGCACTGCACTGGCACGACGCTAGCACGATGGCACTC